GCGATGTGCATTTGTGTGTAATGCTTGAGTATGGCTGTATGGACAGAAGTGTACCTTGTTCTTTAGCAAAAACACTCGGGTCCACACACCTAGGGTTGGAAGAGGGGGTTTGTATGCTAACCTAGACAAAGGAAGGCCACAGCTAACTACAATTCCTGTCCTTTCTCTCCAAGCAGTCAAATGCCTAATATTTGTTAATAGGCAGTTCAAGCACCATCAGTAGTTGATACAAAATGATTTACTGACTAGCTTAACAACTCTGTCCTATAGCTTGGTGTGATGGCTATTCTTGGTTGTCAACTTGACTACATCCGAAGTTAACTAAAACCCAAGTGTCTGGGTACACCCTTGAGGGTTTTTTTTCTTGATTAAATCATTTAAATCACTTTTAATCCAGATCTTCTGAGGTGGGAAGATGAAATTTAATCCAGATCTTTTGAGATGGAAAGATCCACTTTAATCTGGACCACACCTCCAGCTGGCAGTCTGTACAAAAGATATGGAAGAAGGAAGCTTTATCTCTTTGCCTGCTTGCTCTCAATGGCAAGTTCATTCCTTCACTGGCATTAGAACCTACTTCTTCAGGATTCTGGCATATACTGAAGACCAGGGGAAACATTCAGTTTCATAACTGAACAACTACTAGATTCTTGGACCTCTTATTATTAGACAGCCATTGTTAGGTCATCTGGGCCACAGCATGTAAGCCATTCTAATAAATACCATATATATGGATATATAGATACATACATATACATATACATTCACGTATCATATATATATTCTATAAATTTAATTCCTCTAGAGAACCCTAAGTTCTCTTGGTATGCAGGTCAGGATCACCTGGTGGTCAGGATGCTACTCAGTAAGAACCGAGTGAGAACGGTCATTTTCAGGTTAAGACAGATCCTTACAAAGGATGCTTGGTTAAGATGGGTCCTTACAAAGGATGCTCTAAAGCCAGTAAATGTGCATTTGTGGAAACGTAGAAATTATTAACAAGAAGACAATGTATACTGTCAACTATATGAGTACTTTTCTATATTTCCTTTGTTTTAAACATATTTATTTTTGTTATTTTCAAATAGAGGGGTGGAGAACAGGTGTGCAGGGTCCTGCAAAGGCCAGAAGAGGGTATCAGACCCCCTGGAGATGGAGTTATAGGGGGTTATAAACCACCCCACAGAGGTGCTGGGATCTAAACTTAGGTCCTTTTGAAGAGCATCAAGTGCTCTTAATTGCTGAACATCTCTCCAAGTTCATATTTCCTTTGTTTCAAAAAACGTGTGTGTGTGTGTGTGTGTGTGTGTGTGTGTGTGTCTTACTGGAGATTGAATCCAGGCATGCTAGATAAATTGCTCTACCACTGAACTACATCCGGAGTCTCCCCTAGTTTTTATTTATATAATTACATCTATAAGCTTTCAAATGTTTCTTCAAAGAAATTAAATGTTCTTAAACTCGTAGGAAAAAAATCAAGGAATTGAATCAAAGGAGGTCACACATTCTTCAATACAGAAAGAACTCTTTCTTGGACTTATCAAATAATCTGAGCTCATGCTGTATGACCATTGGAGAATGCACAGAATTCTCAATGACTCCTTAAATGTTAAGAAAGGACCTAAGAGAGGAACAGTTGGAGTTCAAGAAGTACCCTGGGAGTGAAAAAGCATTAAAAGCAGAATGAAAGGCTCAGGTCAGGTCTTTCCATAGGCAGAGCGAGAGAAAGAAATAGGGATTAGATGTGGTATCTTGTCACTAGCTTTCTGATGATGAAGGGGAATAATGGGCAAAGTTGAAAGAAGGAAGGGAGGCCCGCAGGGAGGGTGGTACCATGCAGGCACTGATAATCACAGACATGTAAGTGTAGTGGTTCCTTTATTCCATGACGATTATTTTGGTTGATGTTCCCTTTCATATAAATTTATAGGCTATTAAAATTCCAAGGCAGCCTGGATAGAGATTATCCACTGCACAATTAAGGATTATGGCTCCTCAGAAGATTTTCATGTTTGAAAAGCACAGCCGTGAACACTGACAGCAGGAAAGAAGTGAAAAGCAGCCTTACCAAGCAGGGCAGAAAGTTCATCCTCAGTTGTTTAGAACGTGACAGCAGCAACCTGTGGGGACTACCTAGAGCTATAAGATGGAGTATTAGCCTCAGTTCTGTACGTAAGAGATAAAAGGTGACAGTCCTTATTAGAAGCATCCTTCCCCTTTGCTTTTGAGGCTGGTTACTGATACAGAGAAATGAAACCTGTAGTGTAAGATGAAAAGAAGGAGTGTTTCATAGGGAGGACTTCCGCTCTGTGTGCGATGTCAAAGCAGTGTTTGCTTTTGACAGGCCCATGTTAAGCAGTGTAGAGTGACAACACAGAAATTTAAACAGGAAGGGAAGAATTGGAGAGAAAAACCTAAGAGTGTAAAGAATAATATCCAAGTGTGAGTTTACTGGCGTTGTTATAATTTTGAATAAGCACTTGTGATGTCACTTGGCTTTTAAAAATTTTATAACACGTTCATGAAATGAAAAATCTTGCAAAGCATATGTCTTGCCAGAGAATTTAGGATATATGAAGCCATTTTTTCAAATAGCTTACATTTTATTTATTTATATATTTTATTTGATATATATATACATAAAATTTGATGTATATCAGGTGTTTTGTCTGCATATACATCTGCACAACAGAAGAGGGCATCAGATACAATGAGACTACTGTTATAGACAGTTATGAGCTGCCATGTTGGAGCTGGGAATTTAACTCTGGACCTGTGGAAGAGAAGCCAGGGCTCTTAACTGCTACACCATCTCTCCAGCTCCCATGATGACTTTTAAAACTCATTAACGACAAGAAAACTCAATTTTAAAATGGACAGATGATTGGAATCTCTAGATTAACAATTCTCAGAAGAATGCACACAAATGGCCAACAGTCACAAGGAAAGATGTTTTAAGCATTATGATATCAGGAAGGCATCAAAACCATAATGAGATGCCTATTAGTACCTACTAGGATGGTTAGAATGTTAAAACGATGGGTGATAACAAGTATTGGAGAAGATGTCTAGATCTGGGGTCCTTTTTACATTGCCAAGAGACTTATAATATGAACAGCCACTTTGAAAAACAGTTTATCAGTTTCTCAAGATGTGAAACATTAACAATTCTACTTCTAGGTATATGCCCAAAAGAAATCAAAACAATGTCACATCAATAATTGTATATGAATATTCATAGCAATGCTGCATAATAGCCCTCAAATAGAGGTATGTGGGTGTCCATCAGTGGATGAGTGGACAGATGCAAGGATGTTCTTATTGGAATGGAATATTATTGGGCCATAAACAGGAATGAGATTCAAATCCACACTACAGTGTGGATGATGCTTAAAAGCAGCAAGTAAACACCAGTTCTGTGAATAAAATATTTCATGGCTGAGCCCTGTGGTTTCTTTCGCAGATGATGAAAGTGTTCTAAGATAAAATACTGATGATGCTTGAACTTCAGGAATGTGCTCCAAACCAGGAACCATGCAATCTATAAATATAGATTTTTGTGGTATGTGGATTATATTCTGAGAAGACTGTGAAGAAGATGAAAATACTTGACTATAAACAATTTCTTGAGAAGTAATGCAGAACAAAGGTTTAGAGTCTTGTACCAGCCATTCTTTGTTTTCTAATCTTGTGAATAACTGTACCACCATTGTTTGATTGACTGAACGTTATCTGACCAACCTAATCCTCATTTTTATTCATTTATTCATTTTTTACTTTCTTAAAATTAGGAGGGACAGTGGGACTTTGTCAAGATGAAGGAAACACACTATTTGTCAATGTCAATTACAATGTTAGTGTTCTTTTGGTGCTCTGATAAATGTCCAGCGTTTGTCAGAATACAGTTTTAAGATAATTCAATGTTTTGTTCCAATGAGATGGCTTAGCAGATAAAGGCACCTGCCACCAAGCTTGATACGTTTGATTCCTGGGACCTATATGATGGAAGGAAAGAAAATATATTCTACAGAGGAAGAGGAAGGATAGTAGAAAGAAAAGATGGCCCTGTTTCTTCCAAAGAACTTTCTGCATGTTTAGCTGTGACACATTATTCATCCATACTTTTGCATATGTCAAATATTCAAATGATTTATATTTTACTTTAAGTAATCTTGCATCAGGGATTTTCTTTTTTTGTTGGTATAAGTTTCAAATTCATTTAAAAACCTTATTTATCTGTGTATGTATGTATGTCTCTCTCCTCCCTTTCACTGTGTGTGTGTGTGTGTGTGCGCGCGCACGCGCGTACAGTGAGTGGGCTTGCACAGATGCCAGAGAGGGAATCCAGTGGCCTCCTACATCATCACTCTCTGCTGGTTTCTCTGTAGAGGGTCTAACCTCAAACTCTGGGCTCCTGCTTGGCTAGCCCAGAAGCCAGAAAGCCCCAGAGATCTGTCTCTGCCCCTCTTGGGGTTGGGGCTACAGACATCTGCAGGGAATGTGGGCATGAAACATGGGTGGTGGAATCCACATTCCAGTCTTCTTGATTTTGGAGCAAGGACTCTTACCTGCAGAGTCAGCTCTCTACTTCCTTTGTAATCATTATTGTGTGAAAAATAATCACCTCCTCTGCAAGATGTTTACATCCTCATCCCAGGTCTGTGACTGTTACCTTACATAGAATAGACTTTTCAAATGTAGTTAGATTGGGCACTATGTAAGCCAGACTCCCATTGCTATAACAAGTATATCTTGTACTCAGTTTACAATGATAAAAGATTTAGGGGCTGGAGAGATGACTCAGTGACTCAGAGCATTGACTGCTCTTCTAGGGGATCCAGGTTCAGTTCCCAGTATCCACGTGGAGACTTAGACCTGTCTGTAACTTCAGTTCCAGGTGGGCTGACACCCTCTGCTGGCCTCTACAAGCACTGCATGAATGTGGTGCACGGACTTACATGCAGGCAAAACACCCATACACATAGAAGTAAGTAAGTTTTTCAAATTAATATTTTTAAAGAAGAGAAGATTGATCCTTGGCTATGGGCTTCCGTCATACAATTGTCTGGCCCCATTTCTTTGGTTTTCAGCAGAATGGATCTACTTGTCTCATGGTTTAGAAGTGAAAGATATTGGGCAAGGGATGTAGCTCAGTGGCAGAGCCCGTTCAAAGAATGTGAAAGTTTATGGGTTTGATGCTCAACAAAGATTTTAAAAAATAAGAAAGAGGTTAAAGGGATTGAGGAAGGAGTCAGGGTTCCACTGTCCCCTCCAGTGACCTAAGTACCTCCCCTAGGACCAACCTCTTACAGATGCTGCTCTGGGGACCAAACTTTTAACACATGGGGGCATTAAAGATCCAAACTACAGTATGGGTTTTGAGATGGAAAGATTATCCTGGTGTAAAAACAGGAGGCTTGATGAAGGGACAGGATGTGAGTTGTGGTAGAGAATTGCCTAGTATGCACATAGCTCTGGGTTCCAACCTCAATACCACCAAAACTAACCAAGAAACCAACCAACCAACTAACAAACAACTTCTACCACAGGAGGCAGGGGAACATGAGGAGATGTGACCATTGGAAGCAGAAATCAGGACTGAGGAATGATGGAAGTATCTGAAAGCTGGAAGTTAGGGAACAGATTATATTCTAGACCTTCAATGAAAAATACTGCTCTACTGACAATTTTAGACTTCTGACCACCAGAATAATTCGCATTTAACCATTGATTTGTATTAATTTGCTACGGTAGCAAGAAGCAGTATACACAATTATGGTAAAATGTGCTTGATTATTGACCTAATGAATCACAATTTTCCAACCCATTTTTGTTTCCCCAGAGCAAACTTTCTGAAATAGCAACTGAATCAAGGCAGCTGGGTCTTCACGGACCCAGCTTATGAGTGCTTGTAAGTTCAGTTTATGAATGCAGAGTAGGACCAGTTTCCATGACTTGGCCATCAAGGTGGTCCTGGATTGTGTCTCCCAACACCACCATTGCTTTCCTGTCCATGGAGAAGTCTTATCACTGAACAGCATCACAGAGCGCTGTGCTCTGCTCTGCAACAGAATGAAAATTCATTGTTTTCTCAATTATCATTACTTGGGAAACAAACTTCAAGATGAACATGAGCAAAGAGCACAGAAACCAAACATTCCAAGCTAAAGAGTGGAGGATAGAGCCGGGCATTGGTGGCGTGTGCCTTTAATCCCAGCACTTGGGAGGCAGAGGCAGAGGCAGGCGGATCTCTGTGAGTTCAAGGCCAGCCTGGTCTACAAAGCGAGTTCCAGGAAAGGTGCAAAGCTACACAGAAAAACCCTGTCTCGAAAAAACAAAACAAAACAAAAAAAAAAGAGTGGAGGATGGAAGAATTTGAAATCTTCAGTTTTGGGAAATCTAGAATCTGTTGCCATAAATATAGCTCAGCAAGTGATAACTTATAATTGCCAAAGTTGATGGGTAATTACATAATCGAGGCAGAGGGCAGAGCTTGCATTTGCCTCCTTGATTAATTATCACACCAACCAACTTCTTGTTTGAATACCAGCAGTTTCTACTGTGTTTCTTAAAGTCAGCTGGAGTTCCAACAGATGTGAGCCCAGCAGCAGCTGCAATGGATGGTGGTGGAGAGGGTCTTGTAAACACACACAAACAGTGACTAACCTCTCAACTGTAGAAAGCTCAAAGCTTCCTCACATTCAGATTTTACTGGAGGTAAAAAGAAATTATGGAACGACTCTTCACCGAACGCCTTTAACCCTAAGGGCAGATAGGCTAGGTTAGGCTACACAAGCTATGGATTCTGATGATCCAGTTCACAGTGTTCAATTAAACTTAATCAGACACATATGGGCTGCTGTAGACTATTGTTAATAAGCTGCATGGTGATTATGGAAATGGCTATTAGTTCAGTTGAATGACTATAATTGGTATTATTTGCACAATGAGCCATTTTAAAACAGTTGCTTTCTGCTTTTCATTTTTGGAGTCCTCCTGAGTCTGTAATCAGAATGAAAATCACTGTTTTCTCTGCTTTTTTTTTTTTTTTTTTAAAAATCTGAGTTATCAGACTGTGGTGGTATTGTGTTCCCCGAAATATTGTGCACCCTAATAAACTTATCTGGGGTCAGAAACAGAACAGCCACAATATTAAACATAGAGGATAGGCAGTGGTAGCACACGCCTTTAATCCCAGCACTTGGGAGGCAGAGCTAGGCAGAAATCCATGTGTTCAAGGATACAGCCAAGCATGGTGACTCACGCCTTTAATCCCAGGGAGTGAGGCAGAAAGCAGAAAGATATATAAGGCGTGAGGACCAGAAACTAGAAGCATTTGGCTGGTTAAGCATTCAGGCTTTCAAGTAGCAGTTCAGCGGAGACCCATTCTGGATGAGGACTCAGAGGCCTTCAGTCTGAAGAAACAAGACCAGCTGAGGATCCAGCGAGGTGAGGTAGCTGTGACTTGTTCTGGTTCTCTGATCTTCCAGTTCACCCCAATACCTGGCTCAGGTTTGATTTTATTAATAAGAACTTTTAAGATTCCTGCTATATCAGACAGCCCCCCTTTGGAAGAGTGATGGTGTAGAGGTCCCCAACATGTACTCTGTGCCCTCACTCAAGGGCCAAGATTACCCCCAGGATTGGCCTTTGTAATTCTGTTCTCTTCCTGGGGTACAGCCTGTGCACTGCACTGGGCAGTGAACTTTTTTTGCCTACAGGCTTCGAAGAGTCCATTATGAGTACAGGTGGATAGCAGTGTCCGGGGAAGCTAAGCCTTAAGAACAGTATGTTTTTTTGTGTGTCTGCTTTCTTCCAACTATCATAAATAATGTTTTTGATATTAGTTTATTTTTTTACATTTGCTTATTTTCCCCCTTCTCTCTCTCTCTCTGTGTATGCACACACGTGCCAGTGGGAGAGAGTGGAGGTCAGAGAAAAATGGTAGCAGCCGATTCTCTCCTTTCATCATGTGGGTTTGAACTCAGGTCATCGGGCGTGGCAGCAAGCTTCTTTACTCACTGAGTCAATTCACTGGACTGAGGTCGATTCATATTCTGTCATGGACCATTTTTTTAACGTTGAGAGGTATCCCATTATAAGAATATACCATTATATATATATATATTATATATATATATATATATATATATATAATAGGTTTTTATGTTCTTTTGTAAATGAACAATTTAGTTATTTACAGTTTGACCCATTATGTACAAAACATGAATGAATATTTCTGGAGGAATCTTATAGTGAACACACTTATTTGCTTCTTTTGAGTAGGAATAGAATTCCTGAGTCCTAGGACAACTCTTGTCTAACTTTATTACAAACATCCAGATGGATTTATATCATCTTAGAATCGCCCATCTCCTTGCAAAGATTTCATCTCACATGCTTCATAAAGGCATGCATGTTGGAAGTTTAACCTCTGAGTGGTGCTACTGGAGGTGAAGGCCTCTCTAAGAGGTGGGTGTGGTGGTATTGTGTTCCCCAAAATATTGTGTACCTTAATAAACTTATCTGGGGTCAGAGAACAGAAAAGCCACAAGATACTTAGGCTAGAAAATGTTAGCACATGCCTTTAATCCTAGCATTCCAGAGACAGAAATCCCTCTGGATCTCTGTGAGTTCAAGGCTGCATTGGAAACAGCCAGGCATGGTGACTCATGCCTTTAATCCCAGAAAGCAGCCTTTAATCCCAGGGAGTGGTGGTAGAAAGCAGAAAGGTTTATAAGGCGTGAGGACCAGAAACTGGAGGCATTTGGCTGGTTAAGCATTTGGCTGGATAAGCATTCAGGCTTCTAGCAGCAGTTCAGCTGAGAGCTATTGGGATGAAGACACAGAAGCTTCCAGTCTGAGGAAACAGGACCAGCTGAGGAACTGGCAAGGTTTGATTTTATTAATAAGAACTTTTAAGATTCCTGCTACAGGTGGGGTTTTGTGGAGGTCTTCAGGTCATAGGAATGTATTCTTTGGTATATTTTGGGGACTTGGTCTCCTCTCTTTTTTGCTCCATGTCCATAATAAGAGTTATGCCATGAGCTACCATGGTGATGTGCTGCCTTGCTATGGGCCCAACGACACAGAGCCAACACAACATGGACTGGATGCTCTAAAACTGAGTCAAAATAAACCCTCTCTCATTATAAGTTGATTCTCTCGGGTGTTTGTTGTAGTAATGAAAACAGATACCTGACTCTCCAAAATCTGTTGGATGTGCAGCAAAACTAAAGACCAACTTAGATAGAATAAAATCTCAATACTCCTGGGGTTTACATTCCACAAAACAACATGTGTGTCTCCATTTGTTATGTCTTGTTTACGTCAGCACTGTTTTTCTTTGAGAGTTTTTGCATAGTTTTAAAATTAAATTTATTCAAAAGCATTTTATGTTATTTGATACTGTTATACATGGTAGCTTTCTAAAATTTAATTTCCAATTGTTTGTTTCTGGTATAGAGGAATACAATTGATTTTTGTGAGCTGACCTTGTATCCAACAATCACATTAAACTGAATCAGTTCTAGAAGTTTGTCGAATCCTTTGGGTATCTAAGCACAAAAGTACTGTATCCGTGAATAGCAGTTTTAACTTTTCTTTCCAATTGTTATAATTATCTATCTATATATCTATCTAATTGATCAACTATCTTGATGTGGTCCAATATTGGACAGACATGGTAAAAGTGGACACTATTTAATTGTCTTTTTATTCCCATCTTAGAAAGACACACACAACACACACACACACACACACACACACACACACACACACATATATAATAGTCTGACATTAAGAATGATAGCAACTGAAGTTTTTTTTTGATAGACATATTTTATCCAACTGAGAAAATACCTTCTTCTTACAGGCTTGTTCATGGCTTTATGTGTGGTCTAGCATTGCCTTTTCTCAAATGCCTTTTCTTTATGTTCTAAGTTCATTATATGTTCTGATCTTTTATTTTGTTAATGTGGTAAATTGCAATGTCTTAGTTTGTCTGCGTAGTTATAGCAGATTGTCATCGGTAAGTAGTTACAAAGAATAATTTATTCTCACTGTTCTGAAAGGTGGAGTGTTCAAGATCAAGATGCCAGTCTTGTTGGTGAATACTTATGTGGTGGAAGGTGGAAGGACAAGGGAGAGAGAGTCCATTCCTACAAGTCCACTTCACAGTAGCATTCTTCACTTATGAAGGTGGAGCCTTCATGACCTGGGTGACTCTCCTGGCATACCACAATCGGTTGCACTGGGGATTAATTTATAACATATAAATTGTGGAGGAGATCCATTCAAATGGTATTGCACATAATTTGCCTTTTGAATGTTAAACTGATTTGCATTCCTAGAATAAATCTCTTTGTATTGAGAGATTATCCTTTTGAAATATTGCTGAATTGATTTTTAAATATTTTATTAAAGATTTTTTTCTCTTTCTGTTTATGAGGAATATTAATCTGTAGCTTCTTATGATGTCTTTTTCTCAATGTTTGTACTGGTTTTTGTAAATGAGTCTGGGAAATGTTTTCTCTTCATACACTGAATGGGTTTGAATATTGTTACAATTATTTCTTCCTTGAAATTTTACTAGAATTCATCAGTGAATCCTGGTAGGGTTTTCTTTAAATCAACATTCAATTTCTTTAACAGAGTTATATTCTCAAGGGCTTCTGTTTCTTCTTGTGAAACTTTCTCCAGAGTTCTGTTTTTAAAGGGTTTTGTCCAATTCCAGGGAATTTCTCAAGTGTTCTGACAGCAGGATTTTCACATTGTTCGCTTAACTTTGCGTTAGCATCACAGGACCCACATGTCAGTCATGATCATTTTTCTTTTTCTTTCTGAGCTTTATTGGCTTTACTAATCTTAAACAAAAACAACCTTGGCTTTGTTAATTTCTCTACCTTCTGCCTTTGCCTTTATTCCACGAGACTCTTCTTATCCACACCTGCTGTTTCCCTTAGTGTCCATGGGTCACTTTGCTGTTAGGATTCTAGCTTCTTTGGGAGAAATCTTAGCTAATTGACTTTGGCTATTTTATTTGAAGCAGTTATGTGTCACTCAGCTATGGAGACACATTGTTGAGAGATGCATTGTGATGTTTGCTGTTGTGTGAGCACCATAGTGAGCCCATACACAGACCAGAATGGTATAATATCATAAGTGGTGTAATCTTGTGGGGACACTATTATAAATGTGCTTTGTGCTGTTGACTGAAACATCATTATGTAATACTGAATATATACTATATAATTTTCTTTTCTCCCTTCCTCCCTCCCTCCCTCCTTCCCTTCCTTCCTTCCTTCCTTTCTTTCTCTCTTTGCTTACTTTCTTCTTCAGGTTCTCTCACTGAACATGGAGCTCACCAATTGGCTAGACTGATGGGCCAGGTTCTAAGGATTGCCTCTTCCTGCCTCCCCAGTACTGGGATTACAGGCATGTAGGTGTTATGGCTCTGGACTCAGGCCTGAGTGTTGACGTGGCCAGCTCTTTACTAATTGACTGAGCCATCTTCTCTGCTGTGTAGAACTTTCCTCACATGCTGCTTTCCTTGTATTCCACAGACTTTGAAGTATTACATTTTACTATCACTGGATTTAAAACGGTCTCTGTTTTGCATTATGATTTCTTCTTGGATCCATGGCTTACCAACAAGTGTTCTAAGTGGTTTTCAGTTATTCGTGGGATTTTCTAGTTACCTCATTGATTTGGGGTCTTATTTTCCTGTAACCCACTCCATGGGCACAATTCAGACTCTTTCAAGTAAAGAACCATTTCTCTTGCAATATGCTTCATAGCCATTTAGTATGCACAAAAGGATGCCACTGTTTTCACTGCCTTTAAAAGAAGTCACTGATGAGTGTTTTATCTGTTAGATTCAATAATATTATTCACATAAACCATATCAGATTTATAGGGCATTGTACTGGCTAGTTTTGTGTGTCAACTTGATACAAGCTAGATTCATCAGGAAGGAAGGCACCTCAGTTGAGGTAATGCCTCCATGAGATCCAACTGTAAGGCATTTTCTCAATTAGTGATCAATGGGGGAGGGCCCAGCTCATTGTGGGTGGTGCCATCCTGGGCTGGTGGTCCTGTGCTCTGTAAGAAAACAGAGTAACAGGAATTCTAATTGGTCTTAATAAAAACCTGGAGTCAGATATCGGGGTAAATGCTGAAAGATCAGAGAAGTAAAGGAGCCAGCCACTAGAGAGACTTCTTACCTCTACCGAACCCTCAGACCAAAAGGGGCGAGCTCCTGTCTCCTCCCACCTTATATTCCTCTCTCTGCCCAGACATATCACTTCCTGTCTCCACTTCCCTAGTGCTGGGATTAAAGGTGTGTGCCTCCCAAGTACTGGGATTAAAGGCATGAGATCCCAAGTGTTGGGATCAAAGATATGTGTTACCACTGCCTGGCCTCTATGGTTAATTAGTGGCTAGTTCCACACTCTTATCTCTAGGCTAGTTTTATTTGTTAGAGCACAAACAAAATACCACCACAAAGCAGGCTGAGCAAGCCATGGGAAGTTAGCCAGTAATCAGGCCCCTTCCATGACCTCTTCATCAGCTCCTTCTTCCAGAATTCTGCCTTGTTTGAGTTCCTGTCCTGATGTCCCTCAGTGGTGAACAGCAATGTAGAAGTGTAAGCTGAATATCCCCTTTCCTCCCCAACTTGCTTTATGATCATGGTGTTTCATTGCAACAATAGAAACTCTAAGACAGGTGTGTTTTATAGGGTGTGTTTAGGATCTGGACTGTGTCCCCAAAAGCATGTCCTGGAGCCTTGATTGTCAGCTCGTGATCCTCTTGTTAGGTGGTGAGACATTAGGAGGTACAGAGCCTCTCTGGAGAAACTGAATCACTAAGGGTGTTCTTAAGGGGATAATCAGATCCCTAGATGCTTCCTCACTTTCCTCTTTCTTTCTCTCTTTTTGCTTCCTTACCATGATGAGGAGACAGTTTTTCTCTGCTCTGTGTTCCCTACTGTGATGGTCTCCTTCCCCTCAGAGCAGCAGAATGAGCTGGGCATCAGCTGAAACCTCTGAATCTGTGAGACAAAGTAAGAGACATTAGTTCTCTTAGGCATTGTTCATAGCGACAGAAAGCTGACACACAAGGTAATTTTGAAGAGTGCAGAGATCTTCTGTAATATTTACACTGTGTTTTATCAGAATGGGCCATGTTTAGAGAGAGGCTGAGCTTTAAGGGGACTTGCAAACAAATAGGCTGTAAGTTCCATTTCTTTTTCTTTTTTTTTTTTTTTTTTTTTTTTTGGTTTTTCGAGACAGGGTTTCTCTGTGTAGCTTTGCGCCTGTCCTGGAACTCACTTGGTAGCCCAGGTTGGCCTCGAACTCACAGAGATCCGCCTGGCTCTGCCTTCCAAGTGCTGGGATTAAAGGTGTGCGCCACCACCGCCCGGCCCATTTCTTATGCTGGGTTTTAGGCAAGAACATGGAGGAGTAAAGGATGGAAAGACATTTGGAAAACTGTAAACTTAGGATACAGATGGAAGGTGTGCTTCTGGGGCTGTGCGTAGACTCAGATACAGATAGGTGTGTTTCTGGGGCTGTATGTAGCCTGGGATACAGATAGAAGGTGTGCTTCTGTCCTTTGCCTAGTCTGTACACAGCACACAGCACACAGCAGACTAGGCGAAGGACAAAAGGAGAAATGAGGCTTTTTCTGAGGTGTTGACTGTGGTGGTCCAGCAGTGGGTGTTGGGATAAGGGGAAAGTTCTAGACACCTTGTTATTTCTGCACAAAGAAGCAAGGAAGTGTGGAGGTGAGAGGGTTGGGGCAGGAGTGTGTTCTCTGGGCATAAGGGGAGTGAACACTTGAACGTGAATCACCTCTTGATAAAAATGAAATGATACTATCTGTCTGCTTGGAAAGCAATAAAAGATTTAAAAGTAGGAAAAGATAATGCCTGAAAAGGGGGGAGGGGTAGGATGGAGGAAGCTAAGGCTATACACGAGGGAGAGCATAAGCAAAGGAGGATGTTGGAGACATGCATAGATCAAAACCAGTTTCCCATCCATCACAGCCTCGCCTGGGCTTATTTTCAATGCCTGAGCAGAAATTGTCATGGGGACTTTGCATTACATCTGTCAAAACTGTCAGGTACTTTATGCAATGGCTTGAGAAGGGAAGATAAGTCTTTGGATAGCAAACATCCTTACTTTCTCTTAAAAAAAACCGAAGTTAATATTCTCCCCTAAAAGATGGGTCAAGCACTAAGAAAGAAAAGATATATCTCTAAAAGCTGTTCCTGCCTCTAATATGCTAGTCTGTCTTCTTTAGATGTTTTCTGTGTTTTAGTCTTTAATGTGAGTGGACCACATACTAAAAACAGCATATATGAATCGCCTTTAAAACATTGCTTTCTTATTTTATAGATATGCATCTAAGGACGGGGAGGTGGCAGAGTGGATAAAGTGCTTGTTGTGAAGACCTGCGGGCCTGATAAAAACCCAGGGATGCTGGTGTACACCTGTCACCTTACACTGAAGCAGAGACAAGGGATCCTGTGGCTCATTGGCCAGCAAGTCTAGCCTCAAATTCTGTGAAAGACAGTGTTTTGAAAACTAGATGGAGAACAGTTGAGGAAGACAATATTGACCTCTGACTCCCACATTTCCGTGTATGTGTGTGTGAGAGAGAGAAAGATAGATAGATAGAGAGAGAGAGAGAGAGAGAGAGAGAGAGAGAGAGAGAGAGAGGAGAGAGATCTTCATATCAATGTAACATTAGGAAATATAGAAAATAAATTTAAATGGGAAAGCTAAGATTGCTAATAATTCCTTCATTCACAGCTTTTTCTTGAAGACTAATTTATTGATGGTTTGATACCATGGTATCTCATGTGTGGTGTGCTATTTTGCTTGATTTTTAAGATTTATTTTATTTTTATTTTCTGTGTAAGGGTGTTTCTGCTGTGTGAATTTAAGGGTACTGTGTATGTAGTACCCAAGGAGGCCAGAAGAAGGCATCATCAGATTCCCTGAGACTGGAGCTACTGGACAGTTATTAGCTGGCATGTGATTGCTGGGAACTGAACCTGGGTCCTCTAGAAAAACAAGTGCTCTTAATCACCGAGCCATCTCTCCAGCTCCCATTAGTGGTTTTAAAGCATAGGCCTGTATCAAGGTCTGTGTAGAGGGTCTGTACTGGTGTCTCTCAAACAGTGGTCTATATCAGAAACTCCTTGAACTTTTTGAAATACGGATTCTATATCCTGCTGCTTAAATTGTTTGCCCTTTACTTTAAATAAAATTCATGTTCCCCTATTCTTTTATATTGATCTGTACTGTTTTATTTACATGAGTTTCTTGAGATAGAATATCTGTGGGTTTTTTGCTATTATTTCCTGGAAGCTTCCTATGTGCAGTCTCTGGTGGCACTGGATGCCACACCCTCGACGGTGTCGCCTGTGTGACAAATGCCGATCTGGTGGTCTCACGAGAAAGGGGGGCACGTGTCTCTCGAGGGCTAGGCCCCCCGGCAGTCCCCTGGCAATCAGCCCGAGCAATGGTTCCTGGATACATTGTTCCCTAAAGACCAGCCTTCCATGGATGGTTGGCAGGACTCCTGCTTCTTTCTTCTTTCCTGACAATAACAACCTCCCTGTGCCTGTCGCTTGACGTACCTGATAACTCCACAACTGTTACACCAGCACCGCCCCCAGTGATTCAAGCCCTTGGGCAGATAGCACAAAAAACCCCTACTTCAGTGGGGGCACTCATGGATGGATTAGAACAGAAAGAGCTAATGATTCAGGTTCTCACAGATTCTAAGGAAGAAAATGTAAAAGTAAAAAGATTGTTAGGTAACCCTCACTCAGCTCATGCAAACTCACAAGAAAGAGAACTTAGGAAACTGGCAACTCCCACAAGAATGGTTGGAAGGTACATTCAATACCGTATTAATGGGAAATGGTGGACACCCCCTCGTTGGAATCCCAGAAGTAGAAATTACTTAGGTCCACCCCCTTTTACAGAGGCTTATGACTATGAAGGGAATCGGTTGGGTAAATCATGGGGGGAAAAGAATGTTGTGGAATCAGTTGCCTTTTATGGAAAGACTGGTTAGAAGCAGAAAGGTATGGTGTACATATGATAGGCAGACAAGGTCAGCTATATTGAGGGGTATAGCACCTGTGCTAAAGAGGTGGGCTAAGGCTCTTGGCGAGGACTTTGTAACTGTCTTTAATAAATTACTAGAAATGGATTACCAGTTATTGAGTGCATAATCTGGCTCTTAGGGTTCAGGCCACAGCATGTCTCTGTCTGAAAGGATTAATCATTTTGAAAACCACATTGTGTGACCACAAAAGATTGCGTCTATTGCTTTTCTTTTGCCCCTGGGCTTAGGTCCTTGTTAAGATTGTATAAAATCTCAGCCTGATGTTCAGTAAAATTGCAGCAGTTTCACAGCATACTCTGGTGTCTGTGTCTGTCTGTCATCACCGAATCCCAATTATCCTGAGCACCTTCATCCCGTTCTCCCTCGGTCTGGTGGCCCTACTGAGACCCAGTCCGCGGCAACTGGAGCTACCCTGAGGACAGCTGTGGAATGACAGACAAGCTGTGGGAAAAGCCATCCCATAAATCACATTCATGAGTCCCTTTTAGTTGCATATGATTGGGATGGAAAGTGAAGCATACACAATGTAACAACTTCATTGTCATGGAACTGTGGGTTTGGGCCATTGTGGAGACGTCTTTAGGAAGAGGCAATAAAGGAGGAATTAGATTTAATACCATCTCAAAGCTTCTGAGGTAGGACCATCAGACCAAGGAGGCCAAATGTGGCTAAAGCCAACTTGAAAGGGGCCCAACTGTGTAGACCATGTAGCCTTTGTGGGGCCTTGGGTGCCTTTCCCTGAGATGAACCAGGAACTTGTAAGGATTTGAGGCAGGGTGGTGCTATGTTGGAGGTGTAGTCTGAGGTCACTTCTTCTCAGTGTCCTATTGAAAGTGGGACAGGGAGAGATGGCAGTGGCCCTGAGACACTTAGGAGGCTACCTGCAGCAGCCAGCTGCTCCAGAGAAACAGAAAACAGGAAGTGTCCACACATGCACTGAGAGAGATGTCTTAAGGAGTGATCCATCTGGTGATTCAGGCTGACGTATCTCAAGGTCTGTAGTCAGGAGCTGGAGGCCGAGGACAGCTGCTAGCTGCTACAGTTCCCGACTCCGCCCACAGGTCTGAGGCCCCACAGAAATGATGATTTAAGCTCTACTGTGAAGACTGGGAGGTAGAATCCCAAGAAAAACCAACATTTCAGTGCAAAACCAAAGGCAAGAAAAGACCATGTCCCAACTGAGGCATTGAGGCAGAAGACATTATTTTATTAAAAGAATTAACTGTTTAGTTCTATCCTTCAACTGAAGGATGGGTTCTACCTCCATCAGAGAGGGTTGTCTGTCTGATATAAATGCTGATACCATTCAGAAATACACTTCCAGAGACTCCTGGAATAACACTGACCAGATGTCTGAGAAGCCTGTAGCCTAGTCAAGTCGGCAAATAGTACTAACCATCATACGATCACTACCGAAGAGAATTGAGAATGCTGACTGGAGGTGAGGTGGTGATGATGGGGTAGGAGATGGCTTCATCAGAGACATACAAGGCAGAACTAACTCTGACAGAGAGGGGAATGAAGAATCTCTGGATTCCAGCATGATTAGCTGGGCGAATGTGGTACCTTTTGGTGAGAGAGACGGCACTGGTGGGTTAGCAGACTAGCGCATGAAGGCTTTCAGCTCACAGCGGACGCTGGATGTCGGCAGCACTTCTAGTGGAGCGGTGTCAAGCACACAGTTTGGAGTGAGGCGTGAGGTCTGGCTGTTCTCTTAGATGCTTTGGTTTTGACCAAATCTGGCCAGCCGACTTTTTAAAATGGAAGGCACCACTTTCAGCCCGCAGCTTGCTTTTCTGTCGAGTTGATTTTATGGCGGTCCCAACGTCCAATTAGATATTAGAAGACAGGACCTGGCAACACCTGGGGAAGGATGCAGTGGAGGTGAGAGAGCCCAATAGCATCTTTTATCTCTAAAGTGGACTCACGCAGGACAGCAGCAGCTGCACATAGGGCTCCCTGGCCGCGGCCTTATGTCTGGGACCTGGGAGAGACACTGAGTCAGATAGAGAATTTGCTTATTCTCTTCAGTTGCTGAGGCTCAATTATGTTTTAGTTCCACTGGGCTCCTGTTAATCAGAATGACCCAGATGTTTAAAAACAGCATAATGTAGAAAAGAGGAGAAAGGGGAATAGCAAGAGGCAGTCACAGGGGCAAGACAGGGTAGTGGTGGTCCGAGTGGAAGGCACTGAATATAGTCATATAGAATGCCGTAATGTTTTATTTTATTTCCCTCTTGTTGTATAACACTTATAGATTTTTTAAAAATTAGATTTATTTTATATGTATTTTTTCCTGCATGTATTTAAGTGTACTGTGTGCATGTTTGCTGCTCTTAAAGGGCAGAAGAGGACACTGGATGCCCTAAAACTGGAATTACAGATGGTGTTGAACCACCATGTGGGTGCTGGGAATTGAACCCAGGTCCTCTGCAAGACCAAGAAGCACTGTTAACTGCTGAGCCATCTCTGGCAGCGCAGCATAAACATGTCTGAAGAGAGGCTCGGGAAGTCACCTTTCACTTTCGTAGACGCACATCATTGTGCACCAAGTGGTTAAGTTTCTCACTTTCTGATTTTTTTAAATGCTGCATGAAAAACAGGGCTGTAGTTTAAGAAATTTAAAGATAGTAAACAGAAAGTAATGATAAGAACTGAAGTCCTAGGAGTGAAGTTCTAGCTCAATTGGTGGATTGCTTGCCTAGCATGCACAGTATCTAGCTGTGTTACCCAGGCCTAGAACGCTCTATTCAGCCTAGGCTGGTTTGGAACTTGCGGTAATCCTCTTGACTATTTTTTGAGTGTTGGCATTACAGTGCATGATCCACCGCATTTGGTTCATATCCTTTGTTTTCCAGTTTACATGGTGATAGATCACCACTTGTCATAAATGAATCCTTCTGTTTTATCAGAGGACTTAGAGTTAAAGAAATAATATTGTGGTGTATTGTTATGCTTTCTTCAAAGCAAGGAATTTGGCATTATATTTTTGTTAATATCTTACTAATTGTTTTCGTTAGGATACCCAATAATGAATTCCATTCTGGCATTCCCGATATGTGTGTGAATGTACTTTGTTCACATTAAACTTCCTAGTAGTTTCTCTTGTCCTTTCTCTTCCTTCTCATTGGTCTCCTTCCTTCTCATGAATACGAATATACATTTCTATCTTTTTTTTTTTTCAGAGCTAAGGACCGAACCCAGGGCCTTGCGCTTGCTAGGCAAGCGCTCTACCACTGAGCTAAATTTCCAATCCCCATTTCTATCTTTTTTAAATGAAGGTATTGTTATTTGTGTACCGTCACAAGAACTACCTTCTTATCCATGGGTGTTATTCAGCATCTGGCCCTTTCTGCATATTAATAGTACACAATATAGCTTTCCTGCTAGCTCACAATCACTTTGTCTAATTAGTAGTTTGGAATATGGCAAAAGGTAGCATGAAGCAAATGTGGATTTTGTCAGGGTTCCTTCAATGAAAACCCAGTGGACCCTAGTACTTTATTTATTAATCATTTTCCCCCGGGGTCTTTGCTTTATGAACACTTATGAAAATAGTTTTTTTTCCCATTATAATTTGTAAAATATGGGACAAACCCCCACAAGTACCGTTGTGACCCTGTGTCATTGATCATTTAAGTTTAAGCAGAAGGCCATGTTTTATTTTCATTTCCAGCAGCTACATTCTATGTTCCCTTCCACGCTTTCTTTTACTCTTCATTTCCCCCTTCCTCTTCTCCCTTTCCCCTTGAAAACCAAACCAAACAAACAACAACAGCAAAACAAGCACAGAGTTCAAAGCATTTGACCAAATACGTAGAGTCTTTGATCTATTGCTGCTGATATAACCAAGATATCCTGGACTCAGTAATTTACCAATAATGGGAGTCGATTTCTCGTGCTCTGGGGAACAGGAAGCCCAGTCCTGAGGTTCTTACAGATTCAGTGCCTGGGAATGGCTTCTCTCTGCTCTCCAGGTGAGGTGTCATTATTACAGAGTGAAAAGGACAGAGGAGCAGAGAATGAAGTCAGGGTCCTTATGGTAAGAGCCAGGCAGCTGTCTGCAACCTCTTTTGTAATGACATTGACCCCGTCTTTGGGGACAGACTCAATCACATACCAAGCTGGGAGCTACTTAATAATTTCCCATGGAGGCCCTCCTTTGTAATATCACCAGGCTGTAGTTCAAGTTCTAACATATAAACTGTCAGGGAGGTGTAGCTTCAAACGACAGCACCGATGGAGCGTGCCTAAGTCTGCAGCATGTTGTTTACCCTTTAAGGACCTGGATCTAGGGGGAGGACAGCATACCTGGGAAGACCAAGAGATGACCGAGTTCACTATGTACTAAATATGGAAGCTTTTATCCCCTGCTTCCAAATGGAAAGGCTGAATAAGTGGTGTGGTCTTGGCAAGGCTGGGAGCAGGAAAACTGGGCAGATGGAAGGGGCTCTTTGAAATCACCTTAGTGACTGTAGATCAAGTGATTTGCTGACAAAATTCCCCATTTGGTACTAAAAATGAGGATTTTTATGATTGAAAAATTTTATGAGTGAAATTAGAAGCCATTAAAAGCACCGCTGAGATCCAAATTACTTCACTTAACCAAAGGGCCAAAATGGCTTTGTGGATCACAGTTGTTAATGTGAATTGCACTCAGTGGTGAACTGGGAGCCAGAACAGACTGGAACCCAGTTGTTCCACGCATTCAGCCAGAGATTCTGAATGAGTGAGCCGCTGTCCTCTGAAACCCCAGCACCTTCAACTCTGTTGAAGGGCAGCAGCTGCTAATAGAGAGAATTCGATCCTGGCAGAGATCCACCCAAAAATGCATGATGGATTCCAGGGAAAATGGCTCTGTGGTTAAACCAGCTTAGTAAATACTGAGTAACACTAAAGTTAAAAAAGATTTTCTACTTCAAGACCTCTTCCAGATTTTAACACACTGATAGTAATTGTGAATTTACAGGCTTATTTCCCACATTGATTCATCCAGTGAGCCTTTTTTTTTTTTTAAACCCCCAGAGCATCTTTTAAGAGTTGCGTTCCACAAAAATATATTGTGGGAAACATTCTATTGGGTGAGTCTTTGAAACCAGGTTATACGTGAGATAACTGTAGAATTTGTTATATGAATATGGGAGACTTTGAGAGTGTGCAGGGGACTATAAGCAACTATGTCTGACAGCAAATACAAACTGGCCTATCTTGGGCAAACCCAGGAGGTATGCTTTTCCTAGTTATAACAACTAAGGGATGTAGCCACAGCAATAATGATTCTCTAAAGCCAGC